GATGGGGAAATTTTTTTTTTTTGGGACCCAAAAAAAATAGAAAAAAAAATCTTAACATTCATAAGAAAAAATTATTTTTTTTTTTCGAATATTTTGCGACACCAGGAGACACTTCAGGATTGGGCCTTTCGACAGTCAAAGGGTTAACTAAGCAATGATATATTCAGTGGAAAAAAGTTATTGTAAAACAATAACAAATTTTGCACAAATGGTATTACAAAACAGGTCATATGGTCATTTACTGTGTTGATGTGCATTCAATAGAATGGAGTATTCCGTTAGGTAATGTATTAAAAAAAGAAAAAAAGAAAATAAAAAGTTTGATTGGGTCACAGGTTGACATTTATGAATCATAAAAGAAAACATATATGAATACAATTTATGAGATACAATTATTTAGTATTTTTTTTAGTTGTGGGTGAGTAATGATTTTTGAGAAAGATTTGAATTTTAAACAGTGTTTCTTTATTTCACAGGTAATGAATTCCCGATTTAGGGCCTTTTATGTGCATTGGGTTTTTTGCAAGCTGAGGGTGGCTCGAGGAACATCAAAGATGTCTGTCCCTTTTGTTTTGGTCATGTGTTTGGAGGTTTGGGAAAGGGGATTTAAGGGGAGGGTTTTTTTGTCAAGTTAATGTTTTATGTATGTAGTAGGTGCATAATAAGTATGGATTTTTGTTGGTGAGTAGGTTTTTGAGTTTTAAAATTGGTGGGTGTGCTGCCTGTAGTGGGAATTTGTTATCATTCTGACTGCAGTCTTTTGTTGGGTAATTAATGGTCTGAGATGGTTTATTGTTGTTGAGCCCCACACACAAATTCCATAGGTGAGATAGGGGTAAATAAGTGAGTGATATAGGGCCAGGAGGGCTGACTGTGGAACATAGTACCGTATCTTTGATAGTATGCCTACAGTCTTGGAAATTTTTTTTGGAAATTTGTTGTTTTGTGTTTGAAATTTGAGTCTATTATCAAGGTGGATTCCTAAGAATTTTCCCTCTGTGAGTTTTGTGATAGGTGATCCGTTTATCATTATGTTAAGAGGGACATCTGTAGGTCTGTTACCAAACTGAATGAAGTAGGTTTTATAAATGTTCAGAGTAAGTTTGTTAGTAGTCATCCAGGTAGACATTTTCTGTAATTCGGTATTTACAGTATTGGCTAGCGTGACTGGGCTCGGGTGAGAGAAGACGTATGTAGTGTCATCTGCAAATAGTGTGGGTTTGAGTAGTTGCAATGCATTTGGTAGGTCATTTATGTATATGAGAAAGAGAAGAGGACCAAGGACACTTCCCTGTGGGACACCAACTCTAATTGGCCGTGCGGAAGAGTTTTCCCCGTTTGTGTACACATATTGACTTCTGTTGCTGAGGTAAGACTTTAGGTAGTTGAGGAAGTGCCCTCTTATACCACAGTGTGACAATTTTATATGGAGCAAGTCATGGCCAACTGTATCAAAAGCTTTACGTAAGTCAATGAAGATCCCCAGTGGGACTTCTTTTTTCTCTATTGCAGTGTATATGTGTTCTAGCATGTGCATAATAGCATCGTTAGTATTTTTTTTAGGCCTGAACCCAAATTGACAGGGGTTGAGTATGTTGTGGGAGATGAGGTAGGAATAGATTCGCTTATGAATTAATTTTTCGAAGATTTTAGAAAGAGGATGTAAGTTGGATATTGGCCTATAGTTATTCAAGTCTGTTTGATCTCCTCCTTTATGGATAGGGGTGACCCTTGCTATTTTGAGAACTGTAGGGAAGGTAGAGGATTCTATGGATTTGTTAAAGAGTGTTGCAATGATTGGTGATAGTACTTGTGACACTTTTTTGTATATAAAGGGTGGTAAGGTATTTAACCCTTTGACTGTCGCGGCCGTATATATACGTTTTACGAGGTGCCGTGTTTGATGTATATATACTCATAAATTCTAGCGGCATCAAATCAAGCAGGAGAAAGCTGGTAGGCCCACATATGAGAGAATGGGTCTGTGTGGTCAGTGTGCACCATATAAAAAAAATCCTGGAGCACGCAGTGCATAATGAGAAAAAAAAAACTCCGACCGTTTTTTTTAATTAAAATGCCGACTTTGTGGTCTATTTTTCGTATAGTATTTATGGTTGCATTCTCGTTTTCTTGGTCTCATTTGATAGAATGGAAAACATATTACAGAAATAGCGGTGTTTTTGATTGATTTTACTATAAAAAAACTAGAAATGGAGCTCAAAGTAGGGGAAATGTTTGATTTTTGCCAATGTTCAAAAGTAAACAAATGATGCCATTGTCCAATAAATGTCCAACTAGCCATTCTAATATGCAGTCATGAATGGGTTGATGTTATTTATACAGTTATTACAGTATTGCAGTAGTCTGCATAATAGTAAGTCTAATATTTTTTGTTTGAATAAAAATTCAAAATAGAAAGCAAGAGTAATATCAGAGGGGCCTGGAGACGTGACTGATGAACAAAGAAAACGTTATTTTAGAGCCAGGAATGTCTGCATTGTTCATTCTGGACCTTATTTTGAAATTGTCATATTTTTTAATTTTCGTGAAATTGGCCAAATTGCAAATTTCTGACCACATTATTAGGTAGTTGAAATCAGTAAATGGGCAGTTTCTTGTACTCAATCGATAGAAAAAATTAAGTTCTAAAGAAATAGCTATGAGTTTGGGCGACTGGAACAATGGAATTAGCCGAAAATAGGGCTCAAAGTGGGCGAAATCGCCGATTTGTAAACAGCGCCGAGGTCACTAACTTCGCAAGAGCATAATTCCATCAGTTTTCCATCAAATTTCGTTTTTTTGGTGTCATTACAATCGGGAAAAGATTCTCTATCATTTCATAAGAAAAAATAATTTTTTTTTTTTTTAAATTTTGCGACACCAGGAGACACCTCAGGATTGGGGGTTGCGACAGTCAAAGGGTTAAATCTCCTGTCTTGTTTTTTAATGTGTTGATAATAAGGGAGACTTCAGTAGGGTTAGTCGGAGCTAGGAACAAACAAAATCAGTAGTGAAATCAGGGATGATGCAGAATTGTAGTCTACGACAATATTACCCATAAGACAAAATAAGGTAACAAGTTCAAGTTAATCAAATAAAAATAATGCAGGTACATACTAATAAACTAGATATAAACTAGTAAACAGGATATAAAGATGCTAAAGAATTTATCCATAACAAAAAACTGTTACAAAGATAAGGACAATGTACAGAGTATGAGTCTACATGATGTACCTTATTCCACTAAAAGGTATAAGAAAATAAACAAAAAAGTTAAGGTAGTATGAGGAGAACAAGATAAAATGTTACACAATGATCTAGCAAATGGGATATATCAAAAGAACTTATCTATAATAAACAATGTGTAATGAACAAAATAATTAAAAACAAACAAGATGAAGGATGCACAATTACACAAAAGTGAGGTAGGAGGTACAGTGCACTGAACATGGACTACAGTAGGTATGATCTGTGGACTAACCAGTCTCAGTCAAGCCTGCGTGTCTAAGGAAATTTGTTAGATTGCATTCATTAGTCATTTCCTACATATGACCTGTGGCTGAATTTTTAACTATGATTTTACCACCTTGGTTAAAACACTGATGAATGTTGCCCTTATGATCATGTTTGAGTTTCCATAGCCAATATAATAAGTTCTGTCGCTTTTTCGTCAAGACACTCACGTACAAACACTACGCTTCATCATGATGGAAGAATTAAATCTAGGCATTACACTTGGTTTTAGTCCTGATCTGCCTAAAAAATGAGCCTCCTTGATATCACTACTGTCTAGGTTAACCTTCAGATCATCTTTGATGAGCTGTAATGTGGTTTGTAAGTGAGAACTTGGGTATATATCTCCAGGCAAATGGGAAGCGTTTAAAATTACTGCATCTAATAACTGCTGGGATTCCATTTGGTTCATATATAAAGAGTCCCTAGTATACATGCAGAAGAATAATTCACTTAACTAGTGTTACATTAGCCAACATTCTCCCACATACATTTTTGTATGTATAAATATAATTTCTTTGTTTTTTTAGTTTTACCCATTTTTTTAATTTCTAACCTGACCTGAAATTACTGAATGATTTCTAAGGAAGATAAGAGGAGAGACTAGGAAATTATTTGTTGGACTGAAAAATACATAATTGAGAAGATCCTTGACATCAGGCATTTTGAATAAATAAGGTTCAAGTGCATTAGACAAAAAATACTTTTTGAAACATAACAATAAAAATAAATTTACATTACAGGTCAGCCATCACTGGGACCTGTAGTGTGCCGGATTATTGAGTTTGCCGGATTACAGAGTGGTTAGGTTAGAATACACTTAATTAACCTATCAGTAGAGACTCTTTCCATTACATCTTCCTCATTTTCATCACTGCTTTCTCCTCCACTGGCTTGCTGTTGTGGATTTACATCCATCTGCACAATTTCAGAGTCATTATAATGATGAAATTTGAAATTATGCTAGCCGGAATTAGTGCCGGATTACTGGTGGAACTGGATAACTGATTGCCGGATTAGTGATGGCCGACCTACTGTGAATTTTCACAGTAGATTGGCATATTTCACTATCAAATAATACAATTCCTTTCAATACAAGATGCCCCACTGAAACATTCCAGCAAACTACAGTTAGGGGAGAAAATAGGGTTACCAATTAAAGTTTTCTTAACCCTTAAACGATCCAAACAGATTGACATTCAAATCCGTAGTGCTCCAAACGTAGATCTACGTTCTTTTACATATTTTCAAATATAACAAAAAAACAAATGTAGATAAAAGTTTTTTTACACATTTTCAAATGAAAAAAAAAAAGATGATCTACATCTTTTTACATACTTTCAAATGTTGAAAAAACGTATATATATGTTTGGACCATTTAACGGTTAAGGATTAGTTTTCACAAGTTATGGGTAACAAATTCATAGATATCTCATGATTCTAAATGTGAACATTAAAAAAGTTAAACAAACTTTATCTCTCATTACCTCAAAGATAAAGGCACTCATTCTAGGAGAGACAGACAACATGACCAACACAGTGGGAAAAAGGATCAAATATCGATCCCGATGATCTGGCAGGAACGCTACCGATCCCATCCGTATCACCTCCCCGAGGGTGGCCAGGGTGTCTCCGCCATCCCAGCCATGCACACGACCCGTCACAACCTCCAGCTCAAGTTCTTTCTCTCGTCGAATAGCTCCACACGTTGACTGTTGAAATACAATTAGAGTTTCTTCCATTAAGAAAATACTGTTATACCATTATGCATGAAATTTGCAAAGCTACCTTTATATACTGTATATACTAGAGTATAAATTGATTGCCCAAAAATCTTTATTATCATATATCTCACATATGAGTCTACTCTAATTTCTGAGAGCCTGGAAAGGGATCTGATGCTTCTGATGTGAAATATGTCACAAGATATGTGATATGAACACAGAGATAGACAGTCCACTTGATAAAAAATTCAGAGGGTGATTAGATGGTGCTGGGTTCCAAAAGTAGTATTCAGAGTTGAGATGGTCTGGACATCTAGAGAGGATGAAGCAAAACAGAACGACTAGATAACAAGGATGGAGAGGTTTACGAAAAGGTGGTTTTGAGTGCTAGAAGCTTGAACATCCAACAGGCTTGTGTGAATGTGTTAGACAGGAGTGAATGGAGGCTAGCTACTTTTATAATTTGATGCGCTGTTGGAGTATGAACAAAGTAACATTAACGAAGGTATGTATTGAAGGAAACCAATTAAGACGGACTTCGAGTCCTGTAGGCGAGAAGTGAAATGCTGGCACCATGAAGAAAAAGAGAGGACATTGTAGTTAGGAGGGCCATCTTAACTTCAATGTCAGCATGCCTTTATTAACACAAGATTTGAACGAGTGGCGCAAGAGTTTCCTCTTTTTTTTGGTGGTTACTTAATCTTGATGGGAGACAGCCAGTACATTAACCCTTTTGGGGTGGGTCCTGTTGTAAATGGTTTTGAAGCCAGTGTCGGTCTCGTTCTACGTGATCTCAGCTCACTCAGATAAGCTGTGAGTGGTAAATTTGGCCTATATATGAGGGAATGGGTCTATGTGGTAATTGTGCACCATACAAAAATAAAATTCTGCAACAAGCAGTGCATAATTGGAAAAAATAGCGGCCATGTTTTTAGTTTAAAACAGTGACTTTATGGTGTATTTTTATTTTCATGTACAGTGGACCCTCAGTTAATGATATTAATCCATTCCAGAGAGCTTGTCCTTAACTTATTTTATCGTCATCCAAATTAATTTTTCCCATAAGAAATAATGGAAATCCAATTAATCCTTTTCAGACATCCAAAAGTATTAAACAAAATTTTTTTACATGAAATATACATTTCCCTACACAGAAAACAATGATACATGAAGAATAAAACAATAATAACATCACACTTACCTTTATTGAAGACATGGTGATGTATAGAAGACGGGAGGAGGGGAGAGGATGGGGGAGTTTACAGTTGTTTGGAAGGGGAATCCCACTCCATAAAAACTTCAGGTACCAAGTCCTTATCCTGGGTTACTTCCTTCCTTTGTTTTTTAACCCTTTCAGGGTTGAGATGCCCTCTCCTAAACTTGTTCTCAGGGTTGAAAATTTTTCAAAAAAAATAAAAATAATTTTTTCTTAAGAAGAGATATGGAATCTTTTCCCAATCATAATGACACCAAAAGTATGAAATTTGATGGAAAACTTATGGAATTATGCTCTCGTGAAGTTAGCAGTCTCGACTATGTTCACGCATCGGCAATTTTGCCAACTTTGAGCCCTATTTTCAGCCAATTCCAGTGTACTAGTCGGCAAAAATCATAACTATTTCGCTAGAACTCCATTTTTTCTATCAAATGAGTACAAGAAATCACCCATTTACCAATTTCAACTATCCAAAAAAGTTGTCAGAAATTAGCAATTTTGCCAATTTCACACAAATTTCAAAAGATGCCAATCTCCAAATAGGGTCCAGAATAAACAAGACAGACATTCCTGGCACTAAAATAACATTTTCTTTGCTCATTAGTTATGTTCCCAGGCCCCTCTAACATTTCTTTTGCTTTCAACTTTGAATTTTTATTCTCACTAAAAACAGAAGATTTACTGTTATGCAGACTACTGCATTAGTGAAGAAGTGGTATAAATAACATCAACGCACTTGTGAAAGAATATTATTGGACATGTGGCATGATTTGTTTACTTTTGAACTTGGCAAAAATCATCTCAATTTCTGTAATATGTCTTCCATTCTATAAAATAAAACCAGGAAAACTAGAATACAACCACTAGATACCATACAAAAATACAGTGCAAATTCGCTGTTTTAACCCTTTCAGGGCTTCTGACGTACTAGTACAGTTTACGCACCAGGGTTATTGACATACAGTGGACCCCCGCTTAACGATCACCTCCCAATGCGACCAATTATGTAAGTGTATTTATGTAAGTGTGTTTGTACGTGTATGTTTGGGGGTCTGAAATGGACTAATCTACTTCACAATATTCCTTATGGGAACAAATTCGGTCAGTACTGGCACCTGAACATACTTCTGGAATGAAAAAATATCGTTAACCGAGGGTCCACTGAACTAGAATGCCTAAATTCTAGCACCTTCTAATCTAGTGAGAGAAAGCTGGTAGGCCTACATATGAAAGAATGGGTCTATGTGGTCAGTGTGCACAGTATAAAAAAAATGCTGCAGCACACAGTGCATAATGAGAAAAAAAAAAAAACTCTGACCCTGTTTTTGGTTTAAAACAGCAACTTTGCATTGTATTTTCGTATGGTATTTATGGTTGTATTTTAGTTTTCCTGGTCTCATTTTATAGAACGGAAGATATATTAAAGAAATTGAGATGATTTTGATTGGTTTCATAATGAAAAGTACCTTGAAATTGAGCTCAAAGTAGCAGAAATGTTCAATTTTTACCAAAGTTCAAAAGTGAACAAATCATGCCACACGTCCAATACACGTCAACTGCTGAGTCTAATATTCTTCACAAGTGCGCTGATATTATTTATACCATTTCTACACCCTTTATACACTAATGCAGCAGTCTGCCTAACAGTAAATCTTCTACTTTTTGTGATTTAAAACAGCGACTTTGCAGTGTATTTTTGTATGGTATTTATGGTTGTACAGTGGTCCTTCGATAATTGTAAGGCTCGATAGTTGTAATTTTCGAAAATTATAATGATATTTTCGTCAAAACATTGGCTCACTAACCGTAGTTTGACTCGCAAATAGTCATTCTTATGAGACGCGTACTCACGCTTTGAGCCGCCCCGGCCTCCCTTCCCAGCCAGTGTGCCATTGTTTACCAGTGAGCAACGGTCCCCTCACTTGCTCATATGAAATATTTCATAATATTCCATTCATTTTAGTGCTTGCAACTACTAAATAAGCTACCACGGTTCCAAAGAAAGCTCCTAGTGCCAAGCCTTGGTAAAGAAGGTGAGAAATACGATTAAATTTAAGAAAAACATCATTGAACAATATGAAAGTGGCGTATGTGTGGCCGAACTGGCCAGGATGTATAACAAACCCCATACAACCATAGCTTCCATCGTGGCCAAGAAAAAGGAAATCGAGGAAGCTGTTGTTGCAACGGGGGTAAATTATTATTATTATTATTAACACACTAGCCGATTCCCACCAAGGCAGGGTGGCCCGAAACAGAAAAACTTTCACCATCATTCACTCCATCACTGTCTTGCCAGAAGGGTGCTTTACACTACAGTTTTTAAACTGCAACATTAACACCCCTCCTTCAGAGTGCAGGCACTGTATTTCCCATCCCCAGGACTCAAGTCTGGCCTGCCGGTTTCCCTGAATCCCTTCATAAATGTTACTTTGCTCACACTCCAACAGCACGTCAAGTATTAAAAACCATTTGTCTCCATTCACTCCTATCAAACACGCTCACGCATGCCTGCTGGAAGTCCAAGTCCCTCGCACACAAAACCTCCTTTACCCCCTCCCTCCAACCTTTCCTAGGCCGACCCCAACCCCGCCTTCCTTCCACTACAGACTGATACACTCTTGAAGTCATTCTGTTTCGCTCCATTCTCTCTACATGTCCGAACCACCTCAACAACCCTTCCTCAGCCCTCTGGACAACAGTTTTGGTAATCCCGCACCTCCTCCTAACTTCCAAACTATGAATTCTCTGCATTATATTCACACCACACATTGCCCTCAGACATGACATCTCCACTGCCTTCAGCCTTCTCCTTGTTGCAACATTCATCACTCATGCTTCACACCCATATAAGAGCGTTGGTAAAACTATACTCTCATACATTCCCCTTTTTGCCTCCAAGGACAAAGTTCTTTGTCTCCACAGACTCCTAAGTGCACCGCTCACCCTTTTCCCCTCATTAATTCTATGATTCACCTCATCTTTCATAGACCCATCCGCTGACACGTCCACTCCCAAATATCTGAATATATTCACTTCCTCCATACTCTCTCCCTCCAATCTGATATCTAATCTTTCATCACCTAATCTTTTTATCCTCATAACCTTACTCTTTCCTGTATTTACTTTTAATTTTCTTCTTTTGCATACCCTACCAAATTCATCCACCAACCTCTGCAACTTCTCTTCAGAATCTCCCAAGAGCACAGTGTCATCAGCAAAGAGCAACTGTGACAACTCCCACTTTGTGTGATTCTTTATCTTTTAACTCCACACCTCTTGCCAGGACCCTCGCATTTACTTCTCTTACAACCCCATCTATAAATATATTAAACAACCATGGTGACATCACACATCCTTGTCTAAGGCCTACTTTTACTGGGAAATAATCTCCCTCTTTCCTACATACTCTAACTTGAGCCTCACTATCCTCATAAAAACTCTTCACTGCTTTCAGTAACCTACCTCCTACACCATACACCTGCAACATCTGCCACATTGCCCCCCTATCCACCCTGTCATACGCCTTTTCCAAATCCATAAATGCCACAAAAACCTCTTTAGCCTTATCTAAATACTGTTCACTTATATGTTTCACTGTAAACACCTGGTCCACACACCCCCTACCTTTCCTAAAGCCTCCTTGTTCATCTGCTATCCTATTCTCCATCTTACTCTTAATTCTTTCAATAATAACTCTACCATACACTTTACCAGGTATACTCAACAGACTTATCCCCCTATAATTTTTGCACTCTCTTTTGTCCCGTTT